CCTACTACTTGTATTACTAAAACTCTTCGCAACTACAAAGCTACCCATTTCTTTCCAGCTCCTACATCTACTGCCACCATTAAATACCTTTGTGGCAACTTTCATACACAATTTATCTCTTCATCAAACAAACAATATACTTCATCCGCCTTAGCTAGCTCTACCACTTCCAATAATCAAGTTAAAAAACTCTACTCTGCTCTAGCTACTTCTACTACTACTATTCCTGCCTCTCCTATCATAACAACACATTTTCATACATGTCCCAAATGTTGGCAACCAATTAACTGTAAAGTTTTCAATGATAATCACGGACTCGTAGACAATGCACTTTTCTACAATAATGATACCTACTATACAGAGTGCTTAAAAACTTTACAAGAGCAAGAACAACAACATAAAATATTTGAAATAGAAACTGATGATGACTCTACTGCACAAACTGATATCATTAATTTTATCTCTCAACATCAATATCAACAACTTTTATCCGAACAACAAATTAATCAAAAATAACAATATGAATCTAACAATAAACAAACCCAATAACAACAAACCCAATATCTCAAAAATAAATTTATTGTAGATCTTGACTAGTTTAAAACTTACCCTATTACAAACCAAATGGAAACCCATACTAAACTACAAACTACCTTATCTAAACAACTACTATACTTTCTTAAACAACATCTTTATAACTTTTACCCTGGTAGAGAAATCAAATCTAAAACCAAAAACAGACTAGCTCTTAAAATATCATTTCAATATATTATTCGTGTAATGGCCGCTAGCAAACCTGAATTTCTATCAGACCTAATTTATAAAGCAAATCCAGAAGTCACACCAAATGCTTCTATTCTCTTTTAATTTTTTGAATCAACTTTTAGAAATCTTATTCTTAAATTCACTACCATTCTCTTTATCAAATTTAATTATACTAAAATCTTTGAATCACTTGCTACCTTCCCACCATACACTAATTCACAAAGACTTCTTGTTT